GGTTATATTACATTCTCTTAGGTTACAAATCATGAAATATTTTTGAATAATGGAAGTCCGAACCTCTAACAAACAAAATTAATAAAGTCACACAATGAAACAAGATAACCTTTGACTCACCGAATGTATCCAATTTGAATTGAACCACCTTGAAATGTAGGATCACCCAACCAAACTGGAAAACAACTGACGAAATAGGATCTGTGGGCTGCAATTACCGAAACGATCTTTATGTATGATTAAACTCGTTTGTCTAAAACGGCGATTGTCATGTGGTTAGTGGAGTTAATGCGCCATTCTCATCTATTCTACGATTGAATATTTTCTGGTTACAATATCCAGAGTCCAATAATGAATGAACAGCAAAACAATCATCACATAATATAATCGTTTTTGATCACAACAATAATAATTATACAAGTCATCATTGTCACTCTTCTACTGAAAACGCATAATTAAAATACCTCACTGAATGAATTAGATTTAATTAATGGCTACAATGATAACATTTGATACAATAGATACACAACCAACCCATTTGGCTACATCAGATATGTGTTGTTCTCTTTTAAATAAAAACGAAATGGCCATATTATAATTTAAGCCCTACTTTCACTCAACCATTGACCGAAGAAAAAAAATATATCAACAAATCAAGATATAGACGAAACAAAATCAGGTGAATTCATTTAAACTTGTGAAAATGAAAAAAAAAACTAGGTAATTGTTATTACACGCTTTATATTAGCTTCACCTGTATGTATGTATGTATGATTGTTTGTATTCATGTTTGTGTGTAATTCTCCAAAAAGGGGTTTGTATTGACAGAAATATCGGCATTATTGCTTGATCTATACGCGGGCAGATGGCGCTGTTCGTAACCTAATTGATATTTTATGATCTATTCGCGGGCAAATGGCGGTATACATAACTATCAATTATTGCAATCAAATCAAGTCAAATCAAGCTGCGCAATATAGCCTCCAAGGTTTGTTAATAGAGTCCAGAATTGGAGACCTAATAAACTCTTCCTCTTGACTCGACTTCAAAAAAAATGTAGTTGGGTCGTTTAGCCAATGTCCCTTTCATTTGTAAACTCAGGAATAAATTCATTGAATACATTATGGTCCATAAACGAGCTCACAAGTAGCTAGGAGAAAAAAACCATCACGGCAAAGCCCTGCAAAATCGTGGTGAAACTGTCAAAAGAGGGCGTCCGGTATTTGAATTACTGAATCACTCCGCGTACAACACTGTTACGTCCACTTGACTGTGTCGATATGCTCGCGGCTGGCGTTTAAATATCGTTATCCAATCCCTTAGAAATTTTGCCGAAGTTCCGTCGAAATCGACAGCATCATTCTCGCTGCTTCTAGAGCGGCAGGAAACATTGTGTATTTGCGCTCTCTTAGCTACGTCACGTTTGGCTTGTCCCATTGGAGTCCCATTGGAGCCAGTAACCCTTTTCCTGCTGGCCGTGCTTGAAAATCTCTTGACACTCCGGTCTCGCTTCTTTGGCAATCCATTCTCGTACAGTTTTCAAGACGGGATTCTCCTCCTACGCTACAATGATGTCTTGCCTCGTCAGGAAGGTAGTGTCACCCCCAGAGGCTGTTAACGACCATACCACACCATGGTCAGGTGATTCCTCAAATTGTCTGTCCGTTTCCCTGGACACGTGACCCTCACAGGTTGCTACCCTCCGGGTCAGAGGAAACACGGAGCGGCGGAAAGCACGGAAGCTTATCTCCCTATCAGAGCTATCCATAAAGGAATTTCTGCCCGCTACCTCATCACGTCTGGTGGGAAGTTCTTCTTCTGGTAGCTAGGTATCCTTATCCTCCTGGCGTTGGCAAAATTCGCATCCGAATGTCAGGCATGGTCTTCTTGAGAGGCTATATGCGTTTCCGTGACTTTTTCCTTTCCGGAGTTTCCTTAATTTTTTTTTTATTTCTTGTTCCAATCCCTCCTTCGATTCCTGAAATACTATTTCAAATTTTTCGTGAATAAATTTCTTCATCCCCCCGGTACTCTCTTGGGAAGATTTCAAATCTTCATCTTATTATCTTTCTCTTGTTTCTTATGAATGTTTTGACGATCTTCGTTTCGACGTAATTGTTCTTCCTCTCTTCTGCGTTCATCTTCTTCTCTTCTGCGTTCATCTTCCTCTCTTCTGCGTTCCGCTGCGCTCTGCCTGCCTCGCTTGCAAATCCTCGAATATTTTCTCAAGCTTTACCATTCCATCGTAATCGACACTCCTTGTTTTCACCATAAAACAAAAAAAATTCAGTCAATGTTTCCACTTCCGACACCAAATGTTACATTTTTCCCCTTGGGTTGACCAATAATTGACTACACTGAATAATCAAACTTTACTTTATTTCACTTTAAATACAACAAATACTTCAACTGAAACTTCAACTATTATTTGAATGTCTATCGCCTTACTTGATCACTTCGCGCATCGCACTGTAACGTCCACTTAACTGTGTCGATATGTTCGCGGCTAGCGCTTGAATATGGTAATCGAATGCAGTACAAATTTCGCCAAACTTCCATCGGTGGCATTATTCTCGCTGCTTCTAGAGCGGCAGGGAACATTTTGCATTCGCGCTCTCTTAGCTACGTCACGTTTGGCTCATGGTTACCAGTGGCGGCTGGCGTTATTTTCTTTCTGGCGTGATTTACAACAGTATTCTAATGACCACTACTCGGCGGTATATTACAAGAGATACGTTTTTAAAAGATCCAGGTCAGCATGAGGGAAAACATGTTGAAAACAAAATGAATCTCTCCGAGCATTTCTCTCAACGATTCCATATATTTTTGGGAGTAGTATATAAATGTGCAAGTTATTTTCCAGGACTATATATTTTGAACTCATATCTTCAATTCTCATAGTTTTCAAGACCATTCGACTAAATTTCAATTACCTACTGATAAATTGATTTCAGATATTCAATATTTTTAACTAACCTGGCACCTGGATAATAGTTATAGCATCTGATGATAAAATCCAAGAAGCTTTCTTTTTTTGTTGCAGTCATCCAGTTATCACCAAATACCCATATTGGATCAGTTTGTTTCACACCCCGTTCTCTCCAGTAAGACATTGGTTTGATGCAAACATANTGAGTAAGATAATTTTGTAGTGAAACTTGTATTATAAATAAATTCTAAAATATGAAAATTTGTAATAATCTACATGAATAGTTCAATAATTTTGCTGAAAGTTTGTCGCTAAAATTGGTAACAGAATATATACTCACGAACTTTGGCAAGTTCAATACCTCTGGATTGTAAAGGTACTTAGGAATTTCAAGGCAAAATATTGATCCCCTAATGGAGGTCAGCAAAATATATTTTCAATAAGACGCTTCGTTTCACAGCACTGTAATTGTCTCCAAATTTCTGGTTGCAAATTTGGATAGCCAACCAAGGACCTAACCGTTGGCCAGCCAGGTCACCGGACCTAACAACTAAGGACTCATGGTGATGGACCATGCAGAGAATGAGGATCCGCACGACTTTACAGGCTACATCCATAACCATCCTGTCATGTAGACACTCCAAACTCAAAAGTACACGGCCTCCCTGTTGCCGAGGGAATTACAAACGTAGAACGGACGATTTGGGATGGAAACTTCTATAGAGATGCATAATTTTTCGGGTGTTATTATTATTATTAATGAAGTTTCATTTATTTGTAGTAAATTGAATTCTACGTGAAAAGTGCTTTGGAAATGATTCCAAAGTAACAAGAAACTTTTCATGAGGAAAAAGTTACAGCAACTTTTCGAAAATGCACATTTTTGAAAAACATGCTTAAAGTCAGAAACGACGATAGATATCCATATGCAATTTTCACAGTTGAGTTTGCCATAAAATTCAATTCCCAGACGCAGTCATCAGTTTTCATCTTTCTAGTTTGAAAACAGGTGTTTTCCTTTGAAAGGGTCCAATTTGGCCCCCCACTCTGTACATGGTAATTTTGTGTTCTGAAAATATTTATCTACTGATATTTCATAGTTTTCTTGATTTTTTTTTGATAATATGAAGCCTAGATTTTCGATATTTCACTTGCTAGAATGTTTTCTTGCTTATTTTCATTTTGTCAGCAATTCATTTCCACCAAGCATCATTATGTTTGCTATCTGCCTGCGTCTTCAGAATTGGACAACATTCAAGGTGTCAAAGGAGTTTTGAAATGTAACACATCGATATAAGTATTGAATGATTTTGTAGCTCTTTTTTCATTTCAACACGCTTTTATCAGCTTCACCCGTATGTATGTATGTTTGTTTGCCAGTTTGTTTATTTGTAACTCTCCTTTTCATTTCATATTGATTCCCGTTTGAATACTCAGGATCTGTATTTGACAGAATTATCAACATTATTGCTTGATCTATTTGCGGGCAGATGACGCTGCACGTAACCTCCTTGATATAATTTGAACTTACTTCACATGTATTTCTTCTTTTGAAAAAAGTTTTTTTTTATTAACACGGGCTTGGTAGCTGATTTTCAGGCTCCCTCTCTGGAATCGGAAAATATCAGTGGTCATTTTTCTAAACAATAAACGGCTGATTGATCCCAAAGATTAGATAAAATAAATTTAGTTTAAAAACCTATCAAAAACACTTATATAGCATACGAAACTAAAAAATGAAAAATGAATATAGTTTGAAAAAACTTACAACCACGCTTTTAAAGAACATCGAACTGAAAAGTTGAAAATATTTTTTTTAAATAATCTTGAAACAATAACGAACGAAAAATACTAGTATTATTATGACAACAGCGTGGGCGCTTTATGTCATATTTTTTGTATATCAAACGCCTGTCGCTTTTTTCACAATAATACTAGTATTTTTCGTTCGTTATTGTTTTGAGCTTATTAAAAACAAAAATTACTTTCTAGTTCAATGTTTTTTAAAAGCGTGTTTTTAGTTTTTTAAACTATATTTATTTTGATAGGCAAAATTATTGAACACAACATGTTAATGATGAAGACATTTATTTTTAAATACGTCTATATAATATATATTTCTTCTATAAAGGGATGTTCCGATTTTTTTAACTGATGTTCTTTCAATACACGACACGCCTATAGATTTGTGTACCATTTTTATACTGCATTTCATCATGTAATTGATGAACTGACTTCATATAATTAGTTACTTACAAGGTTATTTTCATTATTCACTTAAAAGTGACCCAACGATTATATTTGTTCTGACTATCATACACTGTCAATGTTATTGCTAGTAGTATATCATAAATTGAATATTCAACACCCGTATGTCACTGAAAAAAAATATTTGAAATTTCCCGGATATAAATGAGTTTCAGCGAAATATACATATATCATTAAACTGTTTCCTCGATTATTTATAAGCTCACCTTTATATTGCTTGTGTGTAATGTGTGTAATAGGTTCAATCCGTTCATTAGTAAACTATCATACATACGTTATAGAATAAAGAGGGCGTCTCAATAAAAAATAGTTGTCCATCAATAACTATTGATATCTCATTCAAAAAAAATTGTTTTTGACACCATTAAAATTCTATATATGTATGTAACAGAAAACTTCTGACAAGAAAAAAGTTACAGCAACTCTTAAAAAATGCATATTCTCGAAAAACATGATGTAACTCAGAAACGATGGTAGCTTGTAAATGAGATGACTACAGTGCTTCTTTCAGTTTGCGTCCATGCATGCTCATTAATTAACATGAACAATGGCATGAAAGAAGCTTGACATTCAGTATTAGTGTAATTCGAATTGAAATGAATGTAGGGTAAGTGGAACAAACAGACTAGTTTCGTTGGTGTATTATCCATGATATATCAATAGTAATGTTCATCAGCATAGGCTAATATTAATCCAGAAAAAAATTGTGCCAAATCACTGTCATACAAAATTAATGAAATAGGGCCTGATACTGAGCCCCGGGGGACCCCTGTAACAATTTTGGTATTATGAACATTTATTCTCTCTATAAAATTGTTTTCTAGATATTGCACTTTCACACATGATATCTCCCTCTAATGAAAGCTCAAATTCATTCTAAATGGACGCCATAATCATACAATTTGGAAATTCGAAAGCACGACTAAGGTCACATAAAACATCCATGTCACATCCGCCTCTATTTGCCTCTATGTATTCAATTAAGTTCTCGTTATTGCACAAGTTATCGATTCACTCTTCTGAAATCGGTGTTGAATATCACACATAATCTTTTCACTTCTTGAAAACTCAAACACCAAAATTGAAAGTTTTTGAAGAAAACTCATGATAGATACCTTTTTCAAAAGGTTCGGAAAAAGCTTCATTTTTCACGAAAGTTATTAGTATTGAAACTAAGCAACTGAGCCCCATTTGAAAATAATTATCACCAGTCAACTATTCATTTCTTTAATGTCTTACACGGTTTAAAAAACTTAATTTTCAAATGAATGAGCTTGACATGCTAATAGTATTTTTGTTATTCCGCAAAGAATTGCCCTTTTTTATAAATATCTCAAAAACTGTCCATGCCATAATGCATATTAATGCATGTCAAATATGTGACATATCTATTTCGACATATACAGAGTGACTCACGGTCGATGGTAGGTTAGACGTTTTTGGAAAACACAAAGCATGATTTTTCTGAAAATGTCACCTCTCACATTTCCTTACCTGTTCTATCGATCTAAAATATTTTCAGCATTGCGGCGTTGCCACTTCTATCAAAAAGTCCTAGCAATTATATATTTTTTAATTGAACACTCCGTATATTAATACATTTTTGGAATCGCTTTATTATTTTAATACTTTTTTATTGATAATAAGAAATTTCACTTCTTCCTCCATCAGAAGGGAAAAAAAGGCATATTGAGAGTACACACTTCTGAATTCCCATAGCCAACAGCAATGCCAGATATTAAATGAATTGGGTGTTATTAAAAGGAAACATATTGAATTCTGATAATCTTAGAGATGTCAATATTCTGAATGATTATTTTGTTAATGCACTGAGTAATGGCCTACCACCTCGAACTAATACAGTTGATTATTATTCTATCAAAAACAACAATGGCAGTTTTCTGCATTTTTCTCAAACAACTGAGGATCAGGTTTCCACAATAATTTGTGATATAAAATCTGAGTCTTTCGGGATTGACAATATAAATAATAATAACATGATTCTGCTCTGTTGTCCATATATAATTATACAGCGTGACTCACGGTCTATGGCAGTTTAGACGTTTCTGGAAAACGCAAAGCATGATTTTTTCTGAAAATTCCACCTCTCATATTTCCTTACGTGTTCTATCGATCCAAAATATTTTCAGCATTGCGGCGTTGCCACTTCTATCAAAAAGTCCTAGCAATTATATTTTTTTAAATAAAACACACCAAATATTAATACATTTTTGGAATTGCTTTAGTATTTTAATACTTTTTTGTTGATAATGTCCTATACCTATCTCTATCTGTTTTCGAGATAAAAAATAAATTGTGCTGGATATGGTCCAAAACATAGCCTTAATTGAAATTAAATACATCAGTATTCTCAATTCATGAAAAGTTGATATTTTGATGATACTTTGGACAAACTCGACATATTCAAATAACACCAAGAAATCGACTCCATATCATACAGGGCGTGCTAAAATTACTATTATTTCCATTGTGCATAAAAGTAGTCGAAAGTTCATTTTTTCAAATGAAACCCCATGTATATTACTCGATAAATTGAAAGATGGTGAAAAATGCTTCGAAATGATATACATGTCCCTATACCTGAATCGTCAAGTTTTCTTAATACAGCCGTTTTTGTGGAAAAATAGTTATTCACGTTTGAAAGTGGCATTTTATTTTGTGAGTGGAAATTATTGCAAAACGAGCGTGAGCAAGTGGAGCAAACTCACGAGCAAAATAATATCACTTTTAACAAATTTATCATACAACTTTTTTTATATTACGTTTTTTTTGTATAACGTTACTGCTGATAATAAAAAAATCATAGGGTCCATGTAATTTGAACACACGATCTTTGGATTACAAGGAATATGTTACAGCTACATACGCCAACTCACGTTATTTTAAGGAGGATTATTGGTTAGTCATG